TTTTCTAGGAAAGAAACACCATCGACGATAATACGACACGTGTTTCGCAACTACACGAGGCATCTTCCGGTGATGTAGACTCTACGGCAGCTGACTGCCGCTTAGCGGTTTAGCGGTTTCCGCAAAGTAACGCCTGATTCCATCAATTATATTTATTTATCAGTTCAGTTTACAAAAAAAAAACATGGGTATTATAAGGGGCGACTACGGTAAAAACCAGAAAGATCTCATGGTTTCCGAGGGAAGGTTTCTACAAGTAGATGGAATTTAATATTGTTATGAATTAGCAATATAATTTTATTATGTTTTGTATGGTGTGTGAAGAGAACTAAAGAATCTGGAAAAAGATCGATTTTAAAATGGCTTCAAAACGAAATCTGATTAATAGATTTACAAAAAATAGAGGTATAATCGGACGCTGGTCTGAATTGGCAATTGCCAATCTGCCTGCTAAATGTAGAAAAAATGTTAAGGATAATGGGGAAAATACTTAGGCACCTCCACAAATTTTTCATTAGAAAAAATACGGAATTAGATTAATATGAGTCAGGGTGTATGACTCATACGAACGTATCCTTGGTATTTTTAAACAACCCGGAATTTATCCTCGTTGTTGTATTGTATGTTTGTGTCTTACACTTTGAAAGGAAAAAGCAATTTAAATTTATATTTCACACATCCGACAAATATATAAAAACATGTCCTCAAGGCAAGAGTTTAGAGGTTTTAGTTACGCTAAGACAGTGCGATTTAACAATGTAAAGCTGCATCACCACTTACCACCAGGTGTAGTCAAGCACTGGCTTATAATAAGTAAAAAAAAAAAAAGAATACAGAAAAATCCGACAGAAAAATTAAAAGAAATATATAAATAGCGACACACTGCGTCTTCACACAAGGCTGAAATTCATTAGTGTGGTGTTATCTTTCTCTTCTATTTTATCGCGTTTAAGTCTCTTCCTTTTTAGAGTTTATTTGAGTTTACTCCTTAAGACGAGGTCTAAACACGATTTAAAATTCGTTTTTCACCCGCGCGTCCCGCAGTGGGCGGAGCGCAACCGGAAGTCGGAGAGGGCAGTGTGACACAGTACGCACAAAACAAGCAGTCACCATTTTTCAAATCATAATTCACCTCTAAACAAAAATTTTTTCCGTGAGGTCTCCTGTTCGCGACACTACTAGGTAGTAATAATATTTTAAGCACCTACTCACTAATATAAAAATTGGTTACGAAGTCTGGACATCAGACAACATTTTAATTATCAATATTTTTTTAAAGTCAGTTATATGATATAAGCAGGTACATAGTCAACTATTTACATACATATACATTTAAAACGCTAACTCACAAATTGTAAAAAAAATAACCCAATTTCGTTAGCAAAATAGTTAAAAATAAGAGTAAAAGAATATTTTTAAATAAAACTAATAAAAATTCAAATTTATTTTACTGTTTTATATTACCTTACCTCCGGATTCGATGGTGTGACCTGAAGGTGTACTTTGGTAACTAATACTGGAACATTTATACTAGTAGAATTAGGTGTGCTGGGTTCGGGCTCGTTTTGTTAGTTATAATGATACCTTGCCTCCGGACTTTACGGAGTGACCTGAAGGTGTACTTTGGTACCCGTTATTGGAACTCGTTGCCGAGTCTAGGTGTGTCGAGCTCAGTCCTTACCTTTGGACTTGACGGAGTGACCTAAACAGCGACGAGTTCCAATAGCGATTACCAAAGTACATCTTCAGGTCACTTCATCAAGTCCGGAGGTAAGGACTCATCATACTTAACAAAACGAGCCTAAAATCAGCACACCTAGTTCTACTCGACGACGAGTTCCAATAGCGATTACTAAAGTACACCCTTAGGTCACTCCATCTAGTCCGCAGGTAAGGACTCATCATACCTAACAAAACGAGCCCAAACTTGGCACATCTAGTAGTACTCGGTATATATTGGATACATTAATATTTCCCAACCAAGCTCTATCAAGTTTTGCTGAGTGGTCAAAAAGTGTGTGCGGTCTGGCGTTATCAAGATAAAAGTCATGGCGTTATCAATTTCTTGCTTGAGTCTCATCAGTTGATGGCAGTAGGCAGTTAAGCATACCTCCATCATGCCAAATTCAGCTTATGGAATATTAACCTGATGGCCCATTTTAAAGTTCTTGCTCTAGATAGACACATTGCGAGCATGCGATTTACTAATTCAACGTCTAACATAGAGCTGCATTATAATTAACATTTTCCTGAACCTTAAAAATTTAGTCAATGCCGTTGCTTTCGTCACAAGTTCTTGAAGATAAGGGTTGATGTTCAATATTTAATGGGGCTCTTCTTTAACTTCAAATAGACCAAATGAAATATTAATGACTCTAGAGACTTATTTAAGTGTTATGCTGTCTGAAATGAACAAAATGACGTTACTCGCATGAAAATGTAGAAATGTATTATGACTGAGACCGAATGACCCCAGATGATGTCATAAACTTACATGGCAATTTTTGAAACATTTTTTTGCAATTATTACTAGAAATAAGACCTGGTTTTATTTGTAAAAAATTTCTACACAACCGTCATGAATTAAAAATATATAATTATGTTTTACAAATGATTTTTCTTCTATTACACTACTCATTGTTTTGTCCTGACAGCAAGGGCAAAATTTCGTCCGTACGTTGATCACTCAATGGTTTTCAACGATTAGGCGTAGAATAAAGCGCGTAAAACTTTAAATGAAAGAAATTTAAAGAGTATAGATTATTATACGCTCTATACACGAGGACTTTAGAGGTCATTTTTATAAAAGCCAGTCACGTGACAGTTTTTTTTATAGAATAGGGTGTCAAAAAGAGCACACCGTCCACTTGATGGTAAGTGGTTGCTGTGGCTTATGGACATCTCCATCTATCCTCGATTACGAATCAAAACGCAGATGCGCTGTCACCCTGAGGACTCCTGAAGTTTCGGGTGCTTTGCAGCACCTATCGTCACAGGGGAACTGTGGTGATTGACTTCCCAATTTGCTACCACTTGAGATCCTGTAATTCATCAAATTAAAACTATAACCAAGCATACGACTGCAAAACCTCAAGAATCAGTAAGCTCATTCTGCGTAGAACGGACCAAAACTAATAATTAAAAGCTGCAGATATTACCTCCGGGTTAACTATGATGTCAGGACGTCGATAAATTCAATCCCCTTCTTGACCATAGGCGCTGCAAAGCACTCGAAATGTCGGGAATTAAAAATAAGTAAATTAAACGTAAAAATAATTTTATTCAATATGCAGTGACCGCGTAAATCTTGTAATTTTTTTTCGGATAAAACATAGCCATTCGCAAAGTTTTAGCACATTCATTACATTCAGCCATTCTGAAGATTAGCCCGGAAAGACATACAGACAAGCAGTCAGATGACAGATTTTTTTATAAATGATCACGCTTACAATAGCTGCCTGAGCTTAATAGTTATTTCAATATTATAGACAGATATTTTAATTGATAGATGTAGATGTCTATGGGCCGCAACATCCACTTACCATATGGACTGTCTGCTCGCTTATCACCTTTATTCTACAAAGAAAAAATTGTTATCTCTTACGATGGAAAAAATAATTAAATATTTATAAAACGTGTTTAAAATATGTGCGATTGAACAGCAAAAAAAATTTCGTTAATGCTTATACAGTTAGGACTCGTGATAAGTAATTATTTCGTTTGTCACTTTAATTTTTATACAAGATAGAGCCATGGTGCAGCTATATTTTGGTTGTAGCACGAATGAGTAGGTACTATCAGAAAAAGACCATGGTCACACAGAAGACCAGGTTAAAAAAATGCTGTATTTCGTATGGTGAATGAAGAGAACCGGCAACCCTTTTTACTGGAAACGAAGTATTCTATCTCAGTCCTCAGGGGTGACAACGCATCTCTATTTTATTTCTTAATTGAGAATAAATGTAGATGTCTATGGGCCACAGCATCCAGTTACCATCAGGTGAACTGTTCGCTCGCTTGTTACTCTTATTCTATAAAAACATTTATACTAAAAAAATACTTGTTTAAAGTTGAGTGGACCCGTGTTAGCTCAAAGTTCAAGTGCTCGCTGTAAATTTCTCAGTAAGCAAGCAACCTGGGATGGACTCTCGCCAGCTCTACGAGTAAAGAAAACTATTTGAGGACAGCTGTATGACCAATAAAATATTTGGAGAACCTGATGCTAAGTACGCCAAAGTATATAGCGGTGGTCTTCAGAAGTGACTAAACTTACTCTGTATTTTGATTTGTAATTAAGCCTAAATATAAAGCTTCTATATAACCACATCAATCACTCATATGCTGGATTGTGCTTTGCTCGTCACAATTGTATTATAATTTGTTGCCATTTTCGAAATCCATAGAAACATCAACATTAATACTGTCTTTAAATTGTATTAAAAACAAGTCTACATATTTTTATAAATATACGAATGTTGGAATATAAATTGATACAAATATTTACCTATAGCAAATCATATCTAAAAAGTTTCAAAATAGCTGAAAAAATTTATTTGATGAACTCCCATTACACATAATTCTTAAATAGATTGACCCAATTTTGACAATTGTTCAACCTTCGGTATACTAACAAAGACTATCAACTACAGCTGACATAATATTATAGTAGGCTCCACATTTGTAAGCACTGACAGAGGCATAAATTCTTACTGGAGTAAAGTATCACCCTGTCAGGATCGAAGATCTCAAGTAGAGCCGAAAGTAGGTAACATAAACGATAGCAGACAACCAAAACTCGATTGGAAAACTAACAATGTTTATGCACACCTGTGTTGTCTTGGCTGAGTTTAAAAATAAAGCCAAGTAGCAAGATAATAACTCTACACAAGCTACTATCTACATCTAAGAAGAAGTAGGGTTACACAAAAAATAAAACTAGAAGTTTGCCTGTTACATAATATAATAACCCTTATGTAATTATCATATAAAAGATAAAATTATCATAATTTAATATTTGCAGTGAAGAGTTTAATCTTTTGAGTTGCAGACGGATTTATTACCACGCTGTCAATTTTTCTCTCGACTTCTTCAAGTTCTTTCATCTGTCTTTCTTTATCTTCATTCGACTGCTGCCTTTTGTGACGTATATTTGGAGAAACAGTAAGGTTTTTTTTGCTTCCGGAACTGTACTTATTACTAAAACCTTCTACTTCTTTGGCCTTTTGATAAAATTGTCGACTGTTGTGAATAATATTGTTCGAGACACGTCTAATTCTAGGGAACGATTTAAGGCTCTCGATGTATTTTCTTTTACATCTGGGACACAATTTTACGCTATAAGAGCGTTTGTTAATTTTGAGGTTATTTGGACCATCTATGTTGTTAAGCATTTCTTTATCAATATTTAAAATCTGGCCATTCACTGTTATAAGTTCTTTTGGTTTTTCAATTTTAGAATTCTTTGGTGCAGCTGTTTTCCGCTTTTTATTTTTTGTAGATTTCAAGGAGTCAGGCTTTTTACGGGAAAAAAACGGGAACCTTAAATTTAGAGTCCTGTAATGAGAAAGGTTTTTTAGCAACAAAAATATATCCTTAAAAAATATTTGTTTTTTCTTACGAAATAATAGAAATAAAGTTTACCCTTTTTTCTGTGGATGATGTAAGCTTCTCTCAAAGGTGTCATCTTGATAAGTATTTTTGTAAATGTACTCTTGATCGTGCTGTGAATTTACTTTTTTAATTTTGTCCGCATCTTTATATTTGTTTGATTCTTTAAAAGGTATATCTTTTTCATTAGCATCTGCCGAATTATCCTGCGCTTTTCCAATATATTCGTCCCAATTATCATGCAGCTTGTCATCTGCATTCGAATTCATTATACTTTCATATTCACTGTAGTCCCTCGAAGGCAACCTTCTGAAACTAAGGAAGATTAAATTTACTAAAAATTCTCATTTCTTTAAATGCATGTGGTTGAGGCGCATTTTTTTTCAAGCATTATCCTAAGTTTTTACTTATTTTATAGTTCGCTGCAGTAGTTTGGATGTTAAGTGAGTATTTTAATTTTATATACTCTAACGACTAGAGTTTTATATTCATCAGTACCATTACATGCACACTGATATTTGCAAATTTTAATGTTTATTTACCACGTGATCTAAAACACAGCACATTCAATTAGCCAAACCTAGGGCTTTATCACCATTTACCAGCAAGTATAATTTTAAATAAGCATGGGTCTATAAGAAGTAAAACAAGACATCAGGTGAGCAGTATACTCGTTTGATTCATCTTCTATATGAAAGAACAAAAATACACATAGTCTTGAATATATTAGTCTTTACAATATTACCTTCATAATGGATAGCTTCAGATTATCTGAAAGATGCACCGTGGTCGAAAACCACTGAGATAAAATATAATTTTTGTGTAAAATTGAAGTTACGACAAAAAGCAAACAAAAAAAAGCATTGGCTATCGCGTCTGGCCGTGTCCTACCGTGCTACACTTTACATTTTTAACTTTCTAGAATTTGTATATGCTACATCCGATCATTTGAACTAATACCTTACACAAAAAAAAACTGTCAATAACAGCTTAGGTACTATCATTTAACAATTTTTGATTATATTTTGAATTTAACGTAATTGACACAAGTGAGGGAAAAAATATAAAATGTATTTTTTATCATATTTGTATTCATTTAAGCACACTATGTATCTTTAGATTTATTCATATTAATTATAAATTTCATTTCAGTATGCTTTAAATATTACTTGGTGTAAATAAATAAAGGATAAATTATCATAATAAATTCACCTTTTACGAGCTGAGTCTACATACAACCCGGTACGTTCGACAATATTATCGGGACTTTGTATAAAACTAGCTAAATCAAACTGTGCAATAGGTTCAGTTTCTGACAACTTATACTCTTGACGCTTTTTATGCATCTTCTTTTTAGGATGTTTATTGGTATTTCGATTTTCATATTTATAAACGGGCCTAAGCCGGTGATCTAAAGCATCATTATCTAAATAATCATAGCAAAATGTTAATTGAATATGGAATAAGAAACTTAGTAAATAAAAATATCGCAACATCTTTACGTGACATGTCCTCAATGACATGTCATTTATAAATTTTGTTTCATCATTTATATTATTAGCTATGGCTCATTGATCCTCCTTGCTTTAAAATGGCTAATAGTTACTTTAAAAGAGCAAATTTTATTTCATTTTGATCGATATTTGGGTAAGTATAATATGTTACTTTAGAACTTATAAATTATATGAACGAGACATGAATGATATTCCATTGTCTGTCTTGTATTAGCTCTTTCTTTCAAATCTTTAATAAACATTTTTTGTTTTTATGGAATAAGGGTAAACTAGCACACAGTCCAACTGATAGATGCTATGGCCAATAGACACTTTGATACTGAATATACCACGGTTGCGTAGTCAACTCTGAGGTAGAATGCCTCGTTAAAAGTAAAAGGGCTCTTCTGTTCTCTACGCTCACCATACGAAAACAGCAGTATTTAGCTTCTAATTTACGCTGGTATTCTGTAAAAACGTGATCCTTTCCTTTTCAAGCAAAGTCAAAATTTAAATATGTTTACAAAAATAAAAAAAAATTCTGATAAAGGAAGTGGTGGCTCCTCAGTAAATACTAGGGACAAAGACAGGCTAGTGATATAAGTTTCTCGACTCCACAGTGTCAGTAATTTATTCATGGGACAATGTATACGCTATTACAACAAAGTCCCAGAAAATATACAAGGTCTTTCTACTAACAAGGTTAAATGTTAAACAAAAATTGTTTAAAAAGGGTTATTATAATATAAATTAATACATAAAATACAATGGTACAATAACCCCTATGAATTAGATAGTCGCTTCCAAGATGTATCTTTTTTTTAAAGGTTAGAGTGACAAACAACCACACAGTCCACCTGATGGTAAGTGGTTGCTGTGGCCCATAGACATCTACAACTCTCCTCGATTACGAATCAAAATGCAGATGCGTTGTCACCCGTACTGCGATGGAATGCCTCGTTTCCAGTAAAAAAGGATCTCCGGTTCTCTACGCTCACCATACGAAACACAGCAGAATCAAGCTACTGTTTCACGCTGGTATTCTTTGAGAGCGTGGTCCTCCTTCCCCGGTTGAGCCGACCCATTCGTGCTATAACTATACTCTAATAATCTGTACACGTAAAGTCTCAAATAAGTTTTGTAAATAGTTTTTAGGTACAACCCTTTTTATTGTACAATTCACCTTGAAAAAAAAAGCTCTTGCTGGTTCTTACCAAGGCAGAGGTTTTTTCGAACCAGAGGTTAAAGTAAAATATGACTATTCTATAATAATTACTTATAACCTAATTTTAATATAAAATATTATATTCTATTAAGTATTGAATCACACTAACCCTTTGGATATTTTGAAAGGTAAATTCCAGCAAGTTAATATTATATTAACGATTTTACTGCTTCATGAGGGGTCCCAAGATTGTTCCATAACCACAAGGTACACTTTATCAAACCCAATAGTTTGCTTATTCACTTGTCATGTAAAAGGTCAGGTTTGCTTAGTAGTGTAGTCACCTTAAACGTAACCGGTTGTTGACATTACTGAATAGGTATGTGTATAGTTTTTTTTATTTTATTTAAAGCAGCTTGATCAAAATTTATAAATATTATTACTAGAGTTGGGCCGATTAGTACTTTGGCCGATTGGCCGATTAGCCGATTAATCAGTCAAGAAATGGCCGATTAATCGACCCAGCCGATCCCTATCCGATGATAAATTCATATAGTGGAACAAAACTTCTTCCATATATCCAGAAATGTCACGTTTAGCCAAAGTTTTACTTTGCTGCCCCGCCATCTCTGTGTAGTGTAGTGAGAGATTTTTTTCTGAGGCAGGGAATATCTAGTATCTACGAAACAAAAATAAATCGATTTCAATCAGAAAAGGCTTAGATTTTGGCCATTTTGCATCACAATTTTCCACTGGTTAAAGTAACAAATAAATGAAATATTTTCTATAAAGCCTTCAGTACTTTTTTAAATTGAGTATTTCTTTTTAACAAATTATTAGATGATTATAGATTCTTTATTTAATAACATTACATTAAAAAACTATTTATTGTAATAAGTACAGAAAAATAACCATTTGATTTAATTTTTAGTACAAGAACAATAACAAGTACAGAAACAAGTATGTTCTATTTGTCTTTTAAAAATCTATATGCGTGTAATTTAACAAACTTTATTCAAGAATTAAGTTTTTTTTGTTATGAAATGGGAGAGACTTAAAATTTGTTTTTTTTAAAGTTTATTAAGAAAAATATCATTAATGTTTTATTTCGTTGCGTCACTACTCTGCAGTATGCAGTAAGTACTTAGGTTTTTGTATAGTTTTAAATAGATACCTCAGATTCTTTTTTTTACCAAAGTTCCTATGTCCAGAATAATTAACATTAATAATTATCGTGTGAGACTGATTTTTCAATAAAAGTTATGTATGAACCTACTTATTTTATTATTTATTTGATTTACCTACATATAAATCTGATGTCAGTTTACGCATGGAAGAGAAACTAGACTTTTCTTAAATTTAAACCTTTACTAATATCAATGTAGTCGCAGTTACCACGCAGAAAATAACGAAAAACCTTTGTTGAAATTAATAAAATAAAAAGTGGATTAATCCGCGATTTTTCGCCGACTAATCGGCGACTACAAATAGGCCGATTAATCGACTTCACCGATTAGTCGGCGTGTAATCGGCCCAACTCTAATTATTACATTTAAAGTCCGAGATTAATATTGCAAACCATTATTTAAGTATATCTTTTTAGCACCTGATAATTATTATTTATATAATATAACTTCTTTCTAATTTACTAAAATGATAGATTTGATTTGAGATATATTTTAGTTTATTTTAAATTACACGACTGTGGCATGTGTATTGGATACTTTACGCAGACTCTATATGGCCTTTCTACGATTACAATTAAAGTTGAATTTACAACGAAGGTTTAATATCATAACTATTTCACTGTCCGAATTTCATATTTTGAAAAGAAATAATTGTAAGTTTAACGTAGTATATTTTATTGGAAACAAAACACGCGATCCTAATTCTCTGGTTTGATAACGCATCTGCATTTTGATTCCCAATCGAAGATAGACAATCTGTTAGCCTTAGTAAATATAGTGAATCAGAAAAACTATACATACGAAATTATTTATAACTTACTAGCTGGTATCGAGCATAGCGCTCAACAGAAAAAAACATGTATAAATATTGTTTTAAATTTAGAAGAGTTATAAAGTTTATTTAGGAATAATAATATATTCAATTAAAGTTGAAGTAAGTTGAATGTTATAAAAACATTCAAATTAATTTTTCGGTACGATACGTCCCACACCTACTGTATTTTAATTGTACTATGGCTATAATATAAAAAGACAAATTTTTACCCTAATCTAATGAACGGTATGGCAGCGTATACAATACGAACAAACAAAAATTATTTTTTTTATATCACATTAAACACATGAACATATTTATTGTAATTATTAGCTCCTAAGACATCATTGTTGTCAGTTATTCATTACGGAAGCGATATATGTATAAGAAGAAATAAAAAAATAGATTTTCTTGTCTTAATCTTCAGCAGTCAGCAATCAGCAGCATCTCGAATTTAAAAGCTTATGACACATGTATAAAATATGTCTTGTATTTCGGTACATTGTTAGCAATCCTAGCGGGCCACCTTCTTTACGTAAATGCAAAGTTATGCGAGAAGGGATTTGACGAACCTTGTAGTTGGGGAAAGGGTTATGTCTTACAATGCCTAATTGTAAAATTATGGAGGACAGGTAAAAGGGACGACCCTTACAAAGTAGTTATTAAGTCCGTTTTCTAGTCAGGTTAGTATTGATGAGTTACGTGTATACTGGACTGGAACAGGCTAAAGCTATGGCATTTTTTAAAAAGTCATTCTTACAATTGTTTTCCGGGCGTTTGTTTAAATTTAATACAGCAATCTACTACCATAAAAACGTTCAAGCATGAATGGGTTATTTCGGTTGAGGAAGGACCACGCTCTTATAGAATACCAATATGAAATATCAGCATAATACTGCTGTGTTTTTTATGGTAATTGTAGAGAACTGGAGACCCTTTTTACTAGAAATGAGGCACTCAATCTAAGTCCTCAGCGATGACAACGCATATATCTGTATTTTGAATCTTAATCGAGGATAGGTGTAGATGTCTATGAGCCACAACATCCACTTACCCCATCAGGTAATTTAAAAGACAAAAATATTTCATTCAGTTTGCCAACAAGTTCTTCTACGGATAAAGACCTACCTGAAATTATTTATACCTGGTGCAATTATTTTGACTATTTAGTAATTTTTTTTACTGTATTGTCTTTTATGTAATATTATTGCAATGCAATGAGCTTGAAATAAAGAGATTTTTTTTTTTCAAATCTATGAACATCAAATTAGTAACGAATAGTGTCATTAAGTAGCGGCGTAACAGATTCCACTACCCTTTATAATCCCGTGGATGTCGTAAGAGGCAAGTTAGGGAAATTGTAAAGGAAGACTACTATTATCTAGATGTTAGTGCTGTTAGTCTATGCGACTCTTACAGCTTCGTCTTGTCTCTGGGCTCGCAGCCTGCAAGGCCGCGAGCTAATTAAAAAAAGGGAAAGGCAATGCGGTGAGGATGATGATGAGATGGTTTATGATTTGATATTGTTACCAATCATCATGTCGCCTTTTAGGCGTTTTTCTTTGAGCTATCTAACCGCAGTCCGAAGGGGGAGTGCGAACCCCCGTCTCCGACTGCTCAGCTCGTATCGGTCGATGGTCTGGGCGGTGAGAACCGTCCAGGAACGCGGGTGTACGGTGTGTACGCGGTGTGAGCTGGAACTCGTCGTGCCCGTCTGCGGGTACGACGAGTCCCATTCGTTGTCCTAATAATGTTTGTCCCATTTAG